CATTGAAATTCTGTATATGACGATTTGATCAATACTTAGAGGAATTCACGTGCCAATTTTTTATTCCCAAATAATAAATTTGTAATACTAACAAAAAAAAATTACCGTGAACCGTTTTGAACCGGTTACCATTATATTCTTTTCCGGTTCTGTTCCGGTTCAGTTCCAAGATGGCGGCGAAGATTTCGGTTCGGTTCAGTTCCGGTTTGGCTAAAAATAATGGTTCTGTTCCGGTTTTCGGTTCGGTTCGGTTCCGGTTCGACACCCTGGTGTCAATACTAAATAACACAATTTTTTTTATTTTTGGTACTGAAAAAAAAAAGTTGATGGTATAAATGATAAAAAAAGTATATAGTTACTCGTTTCAGGGAGCAAACAGTGCCTATTGCCGAAACAGCATGGAAAATACATTCTCAATTTAGCAGTTCAAACCGGTTTGAAACAGTTCGAACCATTATTTCTTTTTCTCCAGAACTGAACCCGAACTGAACTAAAAGCCATGAACCCGAACCCAAACTGAACCAATAAAAATTTTTGTTCAACACTTTTCTCTTAGGCGCCCATTCATAGCGGTTACGCCAACGGCGACGCCGCTATATGCGGGAATGGGCGCCTAAGAGCTGCGCTCTAAAGCGAGCAGCGTTCACCCCCTCAATTCGCTGCCTGAAAAGCGGACACATGATTTGGAGCCAATTATTTGCCGCCGATGTTCATCATAACCACGTGCTAGTGTTTGCAAAGCCCAGAACACATGTTGACTTCCAGACATTGTTAGGCTTAGGCTACTCCCCTCATTGCAGTGAATAGACTCAAGCCACTACCCGAATGCTCATTGAAGCATTCACTGTGACGAGCCCAAATTGAGAGCTCACGGTGTGCTCGTGTCCAAGCTAGAAGCAGCATTTTACTTTCGTCACCCTGGGTGCTTCGCTTCAACAATGCAACTTTATGACTACGTCATCAAGTTTTGCGAAGGACAGACTGAAAGAAAAAGTCCAACTTTATATTTGAAATAAAGCCATAACAAAGAAGCTTCTGGGTCAGTGGTGTTGTGTATGAGTAAACATGGGTCCCACTAGTGCCATGTGAATAGTGTTAAGTGAGAAACAATCTGACCCAATATTGTTGCATGGCCTCTGTAAAGGGATACTGACCACAACAATTTAGTGTCCATAATAAATGGTGCAGATAGTTTCCACTATAGCCAGCAGCCGCCGGTGTGCGCAAACACACGCAACAAAATTAATGTCATAGTCCCCCATTCTCATTTAAAATAACAGTGATACGTGTGGGAATCAGGCAAAGGAGAATAAAAACAGGCTTTTCATCTCCACTAGTGAAAGCTTTGTGCTTGCTAGACCAATTCATAGCTTACCTTTTACACCAGACCCCACTGTGGAGATGAAAAGCTTGTCTTTATTCTCCTTTTCCCTGGAGCCCTCACATTTCACTGTGATCTTGATCGTTAATGGGGGATATGATGACGTCAATTTCATTGCATGTATTCACGCACACCGGCAGCGGCTGGCTCATGGAAAGGTTGTGCACCACTTATTACAGACCGTGAAATGTTTGGTTCAGCATCCCTTTAAGAGACAACAAAAAAAACCAAATAGGTCATTCCAGTGATGTGATTGGCCTGAGCCGTTTTGGAGCACCATCTGGAGCAGCCAAAACAGAGTTTTGAAGCAGCAAAACTGGCTTTTGGAGCAGCTAAAATAGTGTTTCGGAGCAGCGAAAGTGGCTTTTGGAGCAGGTGTACAGGGGGAACAGCGCACCCGCAGAACAGTCATTCAAATCAACATACAGACAAAAGAAAGAAACACTTACTCAGCGCTGTTCTTAGGTGTTCTTAGAGGAAAAAAAAAAAAGATATTAATTTCAAGTGGTGGACAAACGAAGGACACATTGCTCGCCGCAATCAACCAATTATTGTCGAGATAGGCCACCTGGGAGTCTTTGAACATGTAACTGAAATGCTAATGACATGACACATTTTGCAATGCTTCAGTTAAATGATATAAATGTATCGGACAAAACTGCAGATATTTAAATTTATTTGAAAATGACCAGCTTTGTGGTAAATATCACATCATTAGGTTGACTAGTAATATAATAAATGGAAGCAGTCTCCAACTGATGAAACAACTACTGCCGTACAATGCGAACTTGTCGCGCGAGCGGAGATGGCTGTTCGATCGAAACCATGCCATCCCGCTCAGTCTCCAACTAATTTTCGAAATTGTATGCAAAATGTAACTGTCCAACATACGACAAAAAACAAACGAAGTAAAACAAAAACAAAAACCAGTCCAGCGGCACGTGCTTGCCAGGCCGGCAGGCGAGGTACAAGCTAAACACAGAAAAAAAAACAAAAAAAAAACTGAGCGATTCGATGCAAGTCATTGCGAGCCAGGGTCCAAAAATTCTTGGAGCTCTTAGTGCAACGACTGAACTCGAGACAGATAAGCACGCTGTGCGGGTTCAGCATGCGGACATTGCCTTCTTTGCTTTAGCTCACTCCTATTTTCTATTCACTTCTTCTATGTCAGATGTTGTGCCCAGTTTAGGTGTTCCCGCAGGGGTCAAACTTAGGACCGGCTTCTGTTTCTTGTATTTATTAGCGATATTGAAATGTGCGTAAAGAACGCGCAGATGCGTTTATTCGCTGATATTAAGATCTTCATGAGAATACAATCGGAGGATGACTGCGCTCTTTTACAGAATGATGTGTCACGTGTTTCAGTCTGGTGTCTTGATGACTTTTACTTATCAACCCTGATAAAACAAAACAACTTACCATGCGTAGAAAACGTGAAATTATTTCTTATCCGTATCTACTTCGTAATTCTACTATCCAACGTGTCCTTCGAGTCCGTGACCTTGGAGTGTATTTTGACAGCAACCTTTGTTTTTCACATCATGTTAGCCAAATTGTTGCCTCTGCTCTTAGAGTGATGGGAATGATATCGCGCCTTACACGGGACTTTTCAAATCATTGGTGCGTGGTGCGCTTGTTTTGCTCCTTGGTTAGGGTTAGACTCGAGTTCTGCAGTGTTGTGTGAAACTCGCTGAATTCATCTGATGCGGCACAAATTGAAAGAGTGCAGAAGCGATTTATTCGTATTGTTTATGATAGGTACTTTGGAAGGAGATGTTTCTGCGACTACGAATATATTCGTAAAGATTTATTGTTGCAGAACTTGTTAAATAGAAGAATAGCTCGCCACGTTTTATTTTTACATAAGGTTGTACACGGTCGTGTAGATAGTGAATTAGTGTAATCGTTAAAATTTCACGTACCGGCACGTGTTGTTAGAGGATTTAGTATATTTTACCCCTCCATTCAATTGAAATTGTCACCGATGGTAAGGATGCAGATTTGAGGTAATGAACTGTCCTCTCATGTTCATATCTTTTCAGATATATCAGTGTTTAGAAGGGAGCTGAATTTTTATCTTTTTAATTCCTGATTGCATGTTAGCCTGTTCTTTTTTACAAGTGGAAGACATTGTGTTAAGTCATGTACTACCATTTTATGTGACACCACACTATGACCTAGTGGTCGTTCTGGGGCATGATTCAAATAAAGCATTATTATTATTATTATTATATTCACCAACATCTTTCGCGGCTGATTTTTCACGTACCGGGGTACGTCTCGAAAGAAAGCCTACCGAGAGAAACCTAGGTAATCAATACTTCGACACAGGAGTGTTTGAGCTAAAGAGGAATTTTTGTAGTAGCGTATTAAACGAGAACAGGATTGTTGATGAACATGCGGCAGTCCTTACGTTTCAGTTAGAAAGTGCCATAACTGGAGTGACGTGGGGACGGCAACATCCGACGTCGCGCGACCATGGTGACTGGCAGGCAGGGACCAAATATAGTTTGGCCACGGCCGTTGCTTTCAAGAGCGAGTGCTTCAGCCCATAAAGTAACCCCCGCCGCGCAAAAAAAAAAAAAAAAATGGTTTCGTTTCACGGCATGACAGCATGGCTGGTACCCAGCACGCTAGCGTCGGGGTGTCCACACACGCCCACGTCTATCATTGATTTTTTTTTTAAAGGACACGAGACGAGAGACGGCGGGAAAAACCATGCAAGACCGGATGAACGATAGATGCAGGGTGCTTTGTGTCGGACGGCTGCTTGCACCACCTAGCTCATGTGTAATCAATTACGGTACTCAGTTTAGTTTCGGTTTTGAAAGGCGACCAAAATTGGTCCTTTGGCGCAGGCTTGGCGCAGATTATCCATATTTTGGCAAAATGTAGCAGGATGTAGCAGGGTTAGCCCCTTGGCGCAGTTTGGCGCAGCAATCACATCACTGTCATTCACATGTTCATGTGTATGTCCTGTTTTCCATTGCCTCAGTATAGTGTAATCTACAACATAGTGCCACAGTATAAGTATAAAAAATGTGACCAGCATGTGCCTATATGTCCTGCAAGTTTAGAGCATGCAGCACACTATAAATCAGTAGTGCTTTTATTGGTACAATGTTAAGCATATATTTTTTGTTCATAATCCCCGACTTCAGTGACCAAAATGCTAGAAAGTCCTTAGAGTTTCCCCAGAGATGAACGCAGAAAAATGTGCACACCCCTACACACATTAACTGTTGAGATTCATCCAAGCATATTATTTGTCTAGGCAGGCAGCTGGAGTTAAGCACTAAAAAGAAAAGGCACTGCCAAAGAAAAGCAAGCTAGATATTTGTGTTTAGACAGTGTAAGGTCAATATACCTTTGAGGTATGGCAACACTGTTTTACACTGTAGATGAGAAATAGAACCAGTGGAATACGACAGCTAGTCTGAGGTCCTGAAGGTGCATCACGCAGCAGTAACAAACAAATGCACGCTGGTACGACGCTCATTCAGATCAAAATGGGCTAGGCTGAGAATTGAACCTAGGATCCCCAAGGTCTGCACTGCCCTAAGTTGCGGTGGGCTAGTAGACTCTGCCACCAATCCTTCTGCTTGCGGAAGTGCCTTACCCTGCTTCCGGAAGAGATCTGCCGCTCCTCCATGGCCTGCCTGCGGTTCACAGCCGCCTCTAGACACTGAATCTCTTGGTGCTCCTGCATGTTGAGCAGCCACTCACGCTGCCGGAGGGCCTCCAGGGGACCGGGCTCCTGCATGCACGGCCCACAGTGAACAGACAGCATGGGATCCTCCAACAAATGCCGAGGCCAAGGGCTCTGGAGAAGGCAACTTCTTGCAATGCCAAGAGCATGAGGCGGGCGTACCCAACAATACTGAGCAACCAAACACCTTAAAGTTTGAGGTAATCACAAAAAGATGGAGATGGACACTTGTTAGGTCTGACATAAAAAAAGCAGGAGGGGCAATCAATACGTTAGGCCCTCATTTTACCCAATGATAATGTACAGGGGTCCTGAAGAACCCCTAGCTATTAAAGCAGCCACACCGCTCTTGTCAAGCCTGCTTTGCACCGGCGCTCCCGCATCAAGCTTTGCTACTTGCACCGGCATATGGGCATTAGGCTTCACCGCCTTGCACCAGCTTCTTGGAGAAGCAGCTGACGAGAAGGAACATCTCAGTTATCTCGGCGGGCTCAGAAGTTTGCTTAGGTTAGTGCTTTATATGTGCTTTTGCTTACATTTCAAATGTTTCAAAAGTCGGGGTGGGCTCTTATTGTGGCATGGGCGCATGCTCGGTATTTTATGGTTAGTTTTCATTTGTTAACGTGAAATGTGGCTTCAGCACAGTCGTGGACAAAGTCACTGAAGGCACAGGAGCATGAGGCTTCGTACTATGTGCGCGTTTCATTAGGGAGGCAAGAGGGACCACTATAGAGTGTTGGGCCAGTTGCGAGATTAGTGGCTATCAACATCCGGGTATAAGCAGCTCAGCTGAGCACAGCACTGTCACGAATTGCAAGGACAGGTATCCGGAAGGGACATTTGTCTCCGAAAGAATTGATAGAAAGCACAAGAGATCCCTCATACCATCTCTGATAAGTGGGAAAGGGCAATGACAATGAGTTTTTCATGACTGCACGAGATCAGGCAAGTAATCCAGGAGTGTCTCTCGAGCCCCAGTAGGACAAACAGTACTCTGCAGCATCCGGCCAGTCGTGGCACTTACCTGATTGGGCAAGGGTGGCGGAGGAGGTGTCGAAGTGCCACGAGGAGACATAAAGCTAGGGCTGTGGGGCCTCTCTTCCGGCTGACTCCTGTGCAGCTGGATTTGCTGCAGCGCACTCTGCAGGGTCTTGTCCCGCTGCTGCACTATGGCCACCAGCTCAGCTCCCTGTGTGCAGAAAATGACAAAGGTAAGGAAATCTCAAAACTTCTGCAGGCAAAGGTTTATGTTTATTGAAAGACTGCAGGAAATCTAGAACATTGTCATTCATACTACTCCTGGAAATGGGACTTGTTTCTATTTTCAGCATACCTTGTGATATCTTCCCTCGAATACTACAAACACTTTGTCACTGATACTATTCCTGGAAATTGTGCTTGTTTCTATGTTTGGCATTTGTTGTGTCATATCTGCCCTCGAACACAAGCCCCCCAATCGCAAATGTGAAACAAAAAGTGAAATACTGCACTTCCATCGGCCACCCTGGAGATGCAGTGGGTCACCAGTTGTACCTTGGTTGGAGATGAGCGTGGTATGTACAACTTGTGATGGCATTGAAGACAAAAGAAGGCACACAAACTACCTCTGCATGATCTTCGTGGCCCCTACTGTCTTGTTAAGGGGGAAGAGGTGTGGGCACTTTGGAGATGCAGAACTGCCAAACAGGCTGCCCCATACATTATTTATTTTTTGTCATTTCCCCCGTGAGGTGGCCATATGCAATTAGCAAAGGCGAAGGCACTCGGGCGACGACAAAACACTGTCGCAAAACAAAGTATATACTTGCGTACAGGGTTGTGACCATGACAGTTATTGAATGACTACACCCTGGTAAACCAGCGTGGAGCATTATCCCTGCTGGCCAACGGCAGCAAGCGAAATCCAACAAGATGCATTACTGTAAGCTGCTTTTTCAACATCAGACCGAGCATGATGGACACATCATAGAATACTTTTTCTGAAGCACAATTTTATAACTGCTAAAGTCAAATCTGAGGGAACTGGGAGCCAAACAGCCAAACCAAAGAAAGGCATGTCGCCCGCCCCAGCAAAGGGCTAAAAACTAATTTCGGCCACTTGGTGATCTTTTTGACGTGCAACCGATACTTCGGTTACACGACGCCTTCTCCGCAATAAGCCACCGCCACCTGGAGATCTATAGGCCAGCACTCTGCCTCAAAACCACTGAGGCAGCTAATTTTAGGACTGCGGACAAGTATTTTATAGGGCAAGATGGAGGAAGTGTACCCTAGCCTCTGTTGGTCAACTTTCCACTTTCATTAAAGGAAAGAGCTGGGAAACATTTTATAGTTTTCCTCTCTGGAATTGGAAATACAGCCCTTTAGAAGTCAAAGCCCTTTGGAGGAAGTCACAGATACTAATATTAAATGTTTAGTCTAATGACAGTAATATGAAATAAAATTGCCTAAATCTGCTTTGCGAATCAAAGGCATCTTCATATGCCGATCTGCAATAATTAAACTTGTTCTGTCTGTTCTATGCTCTCCAAGACATTGTCTTTGTGGTGCGAAGACGCCATCATACACCAGTGTTGGGTTTGGCTCTGGAGAGTACAGACAGAGTGACTTTAAAAACGAGGTTTTTTGTGAAAAAATGCCAAGCTTGTAGCACCAGGGCAAGTCATTGGATATTTCGTGGTAGCAGCCAAAACCTACACATCACTACAAGGCACAAGAAATAAGTTGCGGTTCACAGTCACAACGCAAATTCGGTTGTGCATGACTCAATTGCATTGTCTAGAACATGGGCGGCCAAGCTGCGGCTCGCGAGCCGCATGCGGCTCTTTGCGTGTTACAGTGCGGCTCGCGGTTCCCTCCCCTTCCCCCCCCCCCCCCCCCCCCGCCCCACACGCACTCCGCCGCCTCCCTCCAGGTCACACGAGCACTTCACCAAAAAGAGAAATGGAACGGTCTTTAAATGGAAAGACAGGTTTTGGTTTGGTAGTCTTGTGCTACTGCTACCTTACACGTACAGTTGGAGTACTTTTGACCCGGATAGATTGAAAGTAGTTCGAGTTTCGTTTATTGCGTTAAACAAAAGTCCCCCCCCCCGCGGCTCTTGGAAGTTTCGTGGTTATGTTTGCGGCTCTCAGGCCGGGTCAGCCTGGCCACCCCTGGTCTAGAACATGCTTCTTGACCCCTGAAGGAAGCTGAAGAGGTTCTTAAAAAATAAGCTGCGACATTTATAAAAACCGAACAGTGTGCATGCATAGTTTTGTTGCGTTCCTATTGGGCTCGCGTGCGCGACGGGTAATAACCCAGACAAGCAGGAACGTTACTAAAACATTTACTTAAAACTAAACCAATCTAACTAGACGAAGAACGTGGACGTACGTCGGTCAGCAGGAATTGAAGGTGATGTCTCGCGCCTTCTCCTGTTCATTCGATGCTCGCGCATCCACCGAGTTCGGGTCCCTCCTTTTTCTCGTCTTCACTTGTTGATCCTAGAGGCCTGCAGGAGCTTCGGCGAATGTTGTTTTGGAAAAGGGCACATGCCGCCACGGACTCCCCCTCCAGTGAGGAGGCGAACGTTTGACCATTACGCGATTTGCTGATGGAATCTTGTGGGAGATGAACAGCGACGGTTAGCCGCCTGTGCTTTAACATCCGCGATGCCTAGACTCGCTGGGAAATACACATGTCGTCCAGAACGTGTTCGTGTATGCAATTGTTTTGCATTCGAGGAGTCGTGGTGCAATCGGTCGGGAGGAGATGGAATGTGTAGTTGGTCTGGTGGGATCGGCATTGTTGCAGACGGTGTTTCTGGTTGGGGTGTGACTTTTGGAGGTGTAATTGGTGAATCACTGTCCATATGAGCTGCTTTCACATGATCCAAACTAACAACCTCCTGCCGTCCTCAGATGACCAATATCATTGTTTTTGACCCTCGCCGCACTACCTTGTACAGGCCGTCGTAGGGTGGTTGGAGAGGTTTTCGTACGGCGTCATGCCGCAAGAAAACATGGGTTCCAGTTTCCTATTCGTCGCTGATGAAAGTGGACTGGCCACGGCTTAAGCGAGGAACTGTGACGTGAAGCTGCTTCATGGCCTCTTGAAGTTTGGTGGCGAAGCTTGTGGGATCCTGACAGGTGTCGGATGGAGTTGATGCAAAAAATTCACCAGGGAGCCGAAGGGTGGTCCCGTATACCAACTCAGCCACGCTGCAGCCGATGTCACTCTTGATTGGTGTGCGGATGGCGAGCAGCACGAGAGGCAGCACGTCCACCCAGTCATGTCGTTGGTGAGCCTTGAGAGCAGCCTTCAACTGACGGTAAAAACGCTCCACCATACCGTTGCTCGCGGGGTGGTATGCTGCCGTTCGAATCCTTCTTGACCCAAGCAGCTCCATGAGGCTGACAAAAAGGTTGGATTCAAACTGCCGGCCTCAATCCGTGGTGATCGTGGACGGCGAGCCAAACCTTGAGATCCATTGCGCTACGAGTGCACGCGCCACGGTCTCCGCGGTGATGTCGGGCAGCGGAATCGCTTCAGGCCAGCGTGTAAAGCGGTCGACGCACAACAACAGGGTAGGCTTGCCCCTGTGATGGTGGCAGCGGTCCGACAATATCTATGTGGATATTGTCGAACCGCGCATCTGGGTGGGCGAAGGTTCCCAATGGCGTTACCGTGTGACAGTGGATTTTTGCACGCTGGCATTGTAAGCAGGTGCGGGCCCAGTGACGCACATCTTTGTTGATACTGGGCCAGATGTACCGGGATGTTATAAGGTGTTGTGTGGCTTTTATGCCAGGATGGGATAGCCTATGAAAGGCGTCAAAAATCTGCCGACGAAATTGTTCCGGAACGTACGGGCGCGGCGATCCTGTCGAAGTATCACAAATGATGTTGGTGGGACACATGGGAAGTGGAATCTCGTCGAACACAAGCCGGCCGGGAGATGTGCAGAGCTCTCTTAGTTCTGCGTCCTAGCGCTGCGCTGCAGTCAGCTTGGCGAAGTCGATGGCGGCTGAATGTTCAACCGTGCAGGAACCTATTCGTGAAAG